TTTCATAACTGGACAAAGGTTAATAAATTGGTATTTAGTAAAATTTCACCAAATCATAATTGCAACACCATCGTTTCCTATTGCTCCCAAACAAGAGCTCAAGCAACTTCTATACGCACTGAGAACCAATTCTTTTACCACTTTCCCCACCATCATCTAATGCAGTTTCTCCAGTAGAGAGTTCCCCATCTCAAGTAATGACTCCGGAAATTCTGAAAGGAAAAATATCAAAGCGATGATTTATGTAAGAAATAAAGCAATAGGCATTCAGTCAGCCACATAAAGTTCTACGTTTACACATCGTAGTGTCACAGGCTAAAATACTTCCATTATGAAGTTCTTTTCCTCTTCCAATCACTTAACCATATGAATTTGTAACCGCAATGAGACTTATAGAACAGATAACATTTAGGATCTTTTTCACATAGCTTATTTCATTAATGGATAATTATGAGAATTTGATAGCAAAGAAATCACAATATAATAATGACAGCAAAGAATTTGAGATCAAGTAATACTCAGACATAACTTAATAATGACCCTAAAGAAATCACAATAGAATCCTAAAATCCTTTAATCAGCATTTATATTTCATCAGAGCCAAATTTTCAAGATTCAGTTATCAATCTCAGCATAGAAAGAGTTAACATAAATATAGAAGCAAACCAAACCCAACGCAAACATCACAAGCTGCTCCAATCATATCATGGTCCATAATAGCTTATCATACATATTACTAAATAATTCATTCTACTATCCAATTTAGGACATAATAGAAAACAAGAGGCCTTGTTTAGATACCAATCCTGAAACTTTTATCTACATAAAAAATCTATCTAATAAAAACATGGCTAAGTTCTAAATTGCAACAAAAGCAAAAAACTATTTTCTTCAAGATTAACTACCTTCCAGAGGCCCTGCGATGGCCGTGCAAGTGTGGGCGAGCAATTTACAATTTTCACAAGATGTTTGGGCTCCTATTTCCTCAACCTCTCCTGCTTCTCCTTCTCCCACCTCCTCTGCCTCCTGGACACCCCATTCCCACTGAGGCTCGTTCTATTAGCCAGATACTGATAAATTTTTGACATCAACCGATTAGGCAGTGAGCCATACACATTCTGATAATCCTCTCCTCGGAACTTGGCACCTTCCCGAACCCGAAAGATCCCAAATTTTCCTCCACTGCCATGTGGCATTTGCCTATGAAACTCACATTCACCTGAATCAACTCATTCTCCAAAAAACCCAACTTCTCCGAGTCCTTCAGTAAATCATCCAATATGATTCTTAACCAGCCATTTGCAAATTGATGTAGCACAGTTGAAATTTGCAAATTTATATCAAATAATCAGCATAATCAGGATCTGAAACCGTTCCTAATCAAGATCTACCAATTCCTCACTTTTAGAAACCGTTTTATCAATTCCACCTCCAGCTACCCTTCCCTCTACGATTTCAACTTGCAATTCCACATCCACCACCATCTACCCTTCCCCTGCAAATTAACCACCCCAACTAGTATCTAACCCGCCTCAATTTTCGCAGTAATCAAATAAAAAAATAGAGGGAAAATCGGACCCAACAACTCAGAAATGGAATAGCAAGCAAATAACTGAAAATGCAATTTGATGAGCAAAGAATCAAAACCTTGATTTGAAGATGCGAAATCTTGATTCAAACTGCCCGTCAAGCCCCCCCTTCGATTAGGCTAAACCAGACTAAACNGAGGAATTCGATTTATAGGGAGAGTGAGAGAGTTCGGAGAGAGGGAGAGAGTTATGGGTTTTGTTTCGCGTGTTTTGTGAAATTGGGTTGTTTTACTGAGGCATTTTACAAAACGATGTTTTCATTGTTTTGAGTTTTCAGTTGTATTTTTTTTTCATTTTCGAAAACGCGTTTTCGAAAATAAGATAGAGAACGCGTTTTCGTTGTTTTGAAAAATTAAAAACAGAAAACGGCTGGAAAACGGAAAAGAGAACAGGGCCTTAAGTTCTCGAGCTTTTACCTTAAACTCCATCTCGAGGATTTTAAAGAAACTTATTGAGATTGAAAATGTGAAAAATGAAAGGGAAATGGTGTATTTATAGCCTTCAATGAGGGAGGCCATGGGTCGCCTCCTCAGCCATTAGATTAGGCCGTGTGTTGACCATCTAGGGCACGCCATTTTTTATCGCATTTTCTCATCCAGGGCTGACGTTATTGTCACGTAAGCCTCGAGGATATGAACATCCCAGAGCATATGCTCGATTATCTGACACGAAGGACTCCGATGATAATGCACCCATCCTCGAATCTCGAGCATGGTTGCATGAGGGCCACTGATATGGTCACACTATTAGCTCGAGGACTATAATCTCGAGCTTCAATACTTATTGACTGATAGAGGCCTGATCCTCGGGAAGCCATGTGGTCCTTGAGTATGCTAGAGGACTTCCATCATTATTTTTACGGGATTTGGTGACCGCAGTCCTCGAGATACATATCCTTGAGGTTCTTCCCTTTGCCCAACACGCTTTCTTGCCTAGATGTAGACGGACCCTATTTGATCAGAATTCTAAACTTATCCAAATATCTCAATCTCAGACTCCTATGTCTAAGAGGAATTTGTTTTTGAAAAGATTACAGATGAACTGTAACTAGAACTATAGTTACAATCCAATGCTTATCTTAAGACATGACTTCTAAGGATAAGGGCATATAGCTAACAAAATCCTACCAAGAAAGTATTACATATCTTTATAAATACAACACCCCAATTCATTATCTAGGTACGCTTTTACATAATTTTTCAGTATATATTTTTCTACAAATTCTCTCTCTGACTTAAGTATCGGAGGGACGACGAGGACACACCTCGACGCCTTTTATTTCAAGTACAAGAAGATGTAGTTCGTGCTCATTCTCAGTTATTAAGTTCGGAAATCAACATGTATGATTTTTGGTAGCATCAACAACTAACCCCAAATTTTTTTAAAAGTACAAATGAGCCCAAATGAATTATTAAAAAAAAAACTCAATTTCTCAATACCGTTTTCGATTGAAACAAAATGAAAATCAATAACTAACATGAAATTATTTTGTTTGTTAAGTGACTAATAGTGTTTTTAAACCTTCTTTTAGAAGCCAATCATTGAACTCTTGAGAGGAATAAGTCATGTTAGGTTGACTAAAAAAAAAAGAGTGGGCTACAATATGGTGAAGACCCATTTTCTAGCTACAAAGTAAAGGAAAAGGCTTGTGCAAATAAAGGAAATCAAATCAATATTCCGGCTAAAACAGGGTGAAGCCCTAAACTCAAACACAATAACGAAGGAAAAGGCATGTGTAAATTAATGGAAGAAATTCAAATATTAAATAGAAGGGAAAATGAAAGCTTTGGAAAAGGAAATAAGTGGAAAAGGGAAAGGAAATTAATAAATCATAGGTCTTTCCTTTTAATATTCATCAGGAGTGGTTGATGATTGGAGAGGAAACATGGTTAACAGTGTATATAAAAATAAGTATAGCTTCTTCTCAAAAATGTTGAGGGCATTGAAAGTAAATGAGCAAGGCACAAACGGTCTAAAATGTGTGCATATTCATTTTGTTGAGAGGTTTTAGTACAAGAATCTTGAAAAAATATACTTGTTAAAGTTTGAGCCAAATTTCATTGCGTATTTGTAGATTAGTTGAAGTGGGTTTTAAAGATGTCAAAATATAGACGAAGAAGTGATTTTGCTGTATTCCCTATAATTGCGCACCAAGCTCCCACTCTAGCACGTAAAACAGGGAACATTGCCCACTTGGTGCCAGCCTTCCGGTCGAGTGGCGCTTTCGCCGCTCGCTTTTCACAAGGTGGCACTCGAGCGATAGTGGCATCCGACCCACAATTCGTTTCATGTTTTGTCTTTTTTTTATGCTATTTCCATTTTTAGGACTATTATTAGGGTTTTGACATATATCCTATATATGATTGACTATTCTTTACAAATTAGGCAAGTTAGATAATATTGTAAATATAATATCTTTGTATTATTTCTCCATATTATAGTGAATTCTCATTTCCTTTGCCAAATTTCTTGTGCTCTTCTTGTGCATTGATTTTTATTTCATAGTATGCCATATGATTTCATCCTTAATTCCTAACAAGTGGCATCAGAGCTTAATATTTGATTTGTTTGAGATTTTGTTATTGTGATGGCAACCATAAAATATGATATTCCGCTTTTGGATCTCAGCACTAGATTTTCATTGTGGCAGGTGAAGATGCAAGCATTGCACCCTCAAATGGATTTGAATGATGTTTTGTTGGGATTTGAAAAGATGCATTTTGGTTTATTAGTATGCGAAGTGAGAATAACACTGAAACCAAAACATCTTGATTCTACAAATGTTTGGAGTCCAGTAATCAAAAATTCTCCGATTCCGAAAAACTCCGAAAATTTGACAGTTTTGAGAAGTATCGTAATTTTTATTTAATAGTCCACCAACTAAAAAGAACAAGCTATAAAGTGCTTAAATAGAAAACTCTTAGGTATAAAAAAGCCTAAACTTAAAAAAAGATAAATTGCCCTGAGTAACGTAAAGTGAAAGAAATGATAATAAAATAAAATGAAGAAAATAAATAGTCATACTCGGATATTCTAGCTTCATCGTAGTATTCGGCTTCATCACCTATCCTTAAATCAAGGAATTGGTATTAATGAAAAGAACTATTATGGATGGAGGGGACATTAGGCCATTACTTGTAGAGAAAGGTGAGAGATTTTGTGCGATTAATAAATTTGAGAGCACCACTTCTGTTATACGAATTTTCCCAAGAAAATATCTGACGTAGATGAAAGTTGAATATTTATGAATGAATATTGAAGCTCGTTGATTTCGAATTGAATACTGAGAAACTATCGAAGAATACAATAAAAATCCCTTGAATCAAATAGAGTTAAGAATTCGACAATCAAAACTCATTGATTTACACGCAAATACTGGAAATTGCTTCTTTTATATACACTGATTGGGAAGACTTCCGAATTTTGAAAGCAAATTGAATAAACTCAAAAACATTTTATCTAGTTATCAAAAGACGAGAAAAAAGTGCCATCCATCAGAAAATTAAATAGTCTAAACCTAATTGCTAATTAAATAAAAGTTTCACCTTCGACCCCTAGATTTATAATAAATTTAATATGACCCCATTAGACAACTAAAGTACCTAAAGTATTTAACCTGTCCTCAACTCCTAGCTTTCTTGGGTCTCGAACTCTGTCATTCTCCTTGGGTTCGACTTTGAATCTTATACAATGTCAGGAATTAAACTACTTTTACAATGATTTTGTACATGTAGTTTGACAATTCATAAGGTGTAAACATAATGACTATTGATTTGAATAAATGTTATTCAATGGTTAAACTGCCTGTCAACTCTTGGATTGCGTAGATGTACAAGGAGCAAAACTGCAAATGTCTTTACCCTTACCTCGTAATGATGGCATTGCTCTCGGAAAGTTTGATGAAACTACATCTTCTTCACCAGATTTTATATCCTTATGAAGTATTGAAACTCAAGGATCGAAATTACAGAGAGTAAAATTGAATATTCATCTTATTGAGGAAAGTCTGTGATTACATGGTATATATGGAAGGGAAGCAAAATAGGCGGGAAAACTGAAAATAGGAAAAATGAATGCATAATGACAGCTGGACTAACTAATAGCTAACTGGACTAACTAATACTAACTAACATTATTCCTTTAGTTTCTAATACTCCCCCTCAAGATGTGCGATAAATGTCTGTGACACACATCTTGGGCAACAAGTAGTTAATGGTAGAAGCAGGTAATGGCTTGGTAAAAAGATCAGCGAGCTGATGTTTGGAGTGCACAGGTAGAAGCTTGATAATTCCAGCAGTAATTTTGTCACGAATGAAGTGGCAATCAATTTCGATATGTTTCGTCCGTTCGTGAAACACTGGGTTAGTAGCAATCTGGATTGCAGCATGATTATCACAATACAAAGTGGCTGGAGAAGAAACATTGATCTGAAAATCACTCAACAATTGTCGAATCCATATAATCTCACTAACAGTAGAAGCAAGTGCCCTGTACTCTGCCTCCGCCGAAGAACGAGATATAATGGACTGTTTCTTTGATTTCCAGGACACCATGGATTCACCAATAAAGACACAAAAACCTGTAGTGGATTTACGGGTATCAATACACGAACCCGAATCAGCATCCGAAAAACCTCGAATGTTAATGCTAGAACATGAGGTAGCCTGGGATGAGAACAAAAGCCCCTGTCCAGGATGACCCTTCAAATATCTCAGAAGGTGATGCACTGCCTTCAGATGAGTTACTCGAGGTTGAGACATGTACTGGCTTAGCTTATGGACCGCAAAGGTTATATCAGGACGTGATAATGTCAGGTAGATTAGTTTGCCAATCAACTTACTGTAAGGAGAAGCCTCTGGGAGTAAATCGCCATCATGTTGACTTAGAGCTAACTTAGTATCCATAGGACTGCTTACTGGTTTACAATCAAGATATCCAGTATCCTCAAGCAATTGCATAGTATACTGTCTTTGAGATATAACAACACCCGAAGATGAACGAGCAATCTCAATGCCTAAGAAGTATTTGAGACGACCCAAATCTTTAAGTCTGAACTGGGAGTGCAAGAAAGTCTTTAAGGAATTAATCAACTGAATGCTTGGCCCTGTTATTACTATGTCATCCACATAGACTAATAAGGCAACAAAACTATCTTTAGAACCCTTGGTGAAAAGAGAGTAATCAGACTTAGACTGGGTAAATCCATGCCTTACAAGAGCAGAAGTGAACTTAGAATTCCACTATCGAGAGGCCTGCTTTAAACCGTAGATAGATTTGTGCAAACGACACACTAACCTCTCCCCCTGTTTGGGTAAACCAAGTAAATCATAACCCAAGGGAATATCCATGTATACCTCTTCAAATAAATCGCTATTCAAGAAGGCGTTATTTACATCCAATTGAGTCAAGTGCCAGTCAAAATGTGCTGCAAGGGTAAGAAGTAGCTTGACAGTAACGGTCTTAGCCACAGGAGAGAAAGTTTCGAAATAATCTAGCCCCTCTTGTTGGGTGTACCCTTTTGCAACAAGACGTGCCTTACGCCGTTCTAAGGTACCATCTGATTTGAACTTGTTTTTATATATCCACCTGCAACCAATAGACTACTTCTCAGGAGGCAGTTGGATAATTGACCAGGTATGATTATCCTCCATGGCCCTTAACTCAAGCCTCATAGCATCACACCACTGAGGATCCTTAATGGCTTGATTAAAAAATTGAGGTTCAATCTGAGAAGAGATGGATAGTGCAAAATGTCTGTGTGGATTGGATAGAGTTTGATATAAAATGAAATTGGCAATGTGATATGGAGGAAAAGAAGAAGAATGATCATTTGAAGACAACAGATTACAGTGATATTCGTGAAGATATCTGAGAATTCTGGAAGATCTTGTGGATTTCCGAATGGCTGGAATAACCTGACTGATAGGTGGTGATTGATTAGGAGTTTGAGATTCTGGAGCAGGGTAATCTGTGTTATTGGAAGAATTTGGGATAATATTGTAAGGCAAAGCTTGAGTATGTGGTTCAGGCTGAAAATGAGAGTCTTTAACGGGAAGATCAATTGATGAAGATAAAGTCACAGAAGGAAGCACAAGGTCAGGAAAGGGATCTACAACTTCATCAGACTTCATAATAGTGTGAAAAGGGAATGTTTCTTCATGAAAAATCACATCCCTGGAAATAAAAATTCGTTTTGAAACAATATCAAGCAGCTTGAATCCCTTTACTCCTGATGGATAGCCTATAAAGACACAAGGCTTGGCTCGAGGTTGGAATTTATTTCTGTGAGCAACAAGTGTAGAAGCAAATGCTAAACTCCCAAAGACTCGAAGACAAGAGTAATCAGCAGGTTTGGAATATAAGATTTCAAATGGAGTTTTATGATTTAAAATAGGAGAATGAGTCCTATTAATGAGGAAAGCTACAGTTAATATGCATTCAGACCAGAAATGAATAGGAATTCTGGATTGAAAAAAGAAAGCACGAGCTACGTTCAACAGATGTTGATGCTTTCTCTCAACCACTGAGTTCTGCTGTGGCCTTTCAACACAGCTGCGTTGATGAATAACCCCTTTGTCAGCAAACAAGTCTTTACAAGACAATTCATGGGCATTATCTGATCTGAAGACCTTGATGTTGACATTAAATTGAGTCTTAACTAAGTTGAAGAAACGAGTTAAAGCACAACCAGCATCAGATTTTTGACGAAGCATATATATCCAAGTAAATCTGGAGCAATCATCAACAAGAGCTAAGAAGTATTTGTGTCCAGTGTGGGATGTTGTATGATATGGTCCCCATATGTCTCCATGTAACAAATCAAAAGGCACGTTTGAAAGACGATTATAAGATTCAAACGGTAATCTTCTCTGCTTAGCTAATGGACAGACATAACAAGGAATTTGTTTATTGAACTTGGAATTATTACAAGCTAACTGATCCTTTAAAACTTCCAATCTCTTAAAAGACATATGCCCCAATCTGTTGTGCCACACACGAGTAGACACATTACCAACAAAACTATCTGAAAAAGCATTAGAACTACTAACATCCAGCACATAAAGTCCCTGAATAGTGTTACCCCTGCCAATCATTCTCTTGGTGACAGACTCCTGAATGTAAAACTGATCCTGAGAGAAGTGTAAAGTGAGGTTGGAATCAGCTGTTAATGCACTGACAGAGAGTAAATTGAATTTGAACTGTGGTACATATAAAACATCATGTAGAACCAAGTTAGGACTTAGCCTGATTTCACCACAAGATCTGACTACTATTTTTGTTTGATTTGGCAGAGTTATACTTGCTTTTTCCACTGATCTCATTGTTACAAAAGCCTCAGCATTACAGCAAACATGTTTAGTAGCTCCTGAATCCACTATCCAAAAATCCTTAGTGGCAATAAAAGGAGAAACTGATATGGAGTGACAAATACCTGTAGTGTTTGAAGTACTCTGTTTATCCAAATCATCTGAATTTGCCTTGGAGCTGGATGATAAATGACTTGACAGCATGTTCAATAACTGTTGATATTGATCTGAGTTCAGATTATGCATAAATTCTCCCATTCCAGATTGATTATCAGCATTCTGATTAATGTGATTGGCACTCAGCTGATTGACACGGTTATTTGCTGAGTAATGATGACTAAATTCCCTAGGTCTTGGCTTGAAACCAGGGGGATATCCATGGATCTTGTAACAATTGTCAATAGAATGTCCATGGTACTTGCAATGAGTACAATAAGGCTTCTCTTTTCTCCTGAAATTGTTGAAGTTGCCAACTCTAGATCCATCATTTCGAAAATTATTCATCAATGGTTTCACATTTTCAGATCTAAAAGAATTCATCACTGGTCTTGCATTTTCTGATCTGATAGCAAAAGCAGCAGCATTATTGGCATCATTTCCTAACGACTGCACACTCAGTCTCTTTTGATTTTCCTCCTGCACTATGAGTGCAAAAACTTTATTTACAGCTGGTATAGGATCCATGAGAAGAATCTGTCCTCTAGCCTGAGAAAAAGAGTCATTCAACCCCATGAGGAATGACATGATGTATTCCATTTGATAATATTTGTTTATCTCTTTAACACCACCACATGTGCATTTTCCACATGTGCAATTAGGTCTGAAATTAATCAGCTCTTCCCAAAGAGTCTTTAACTTGGTAAAATATATACTAACAGTGTTTTGCTCTTGAGCTAAGTTCATCAATTCTTTCCTTAGCTGAAAAATTCGAGGTCCATTACTTTGTTGAAACCGTTCTTTGAGATCATTCCAGATCTCATAAGCTGTAGATACGTAGATGATGCTGGCCGAAATCTCCTTTGAAACTGAATTGAGTATCCACGAAATAACTATGTTGTTATTCCTGATCCATGAATTAACTAAATCAGTATTCGATTCCTCTGGTCTGGTCATCGATCCATCAACAAAGGCTAGTTTATTCTTCACGGAAAGTGCGATTGTGATTGCACGATTCCATGATGCATAATTTTCTCCTGTAAGCAGCTGAGAAACAAGTACTAATCCCGGACTGTCTGAATGATGGAGGAAGAACGGGCTAGACGGTTCATCAATAGCTGACTTACTTACGGATGAATTCACATCAGAATCCCCTTGATTCTGTATCGGCTCCATTGAAGTAGAATGGATTGAGAAGATTAAAATAGAAAGAAACGAAGAGCTGGAATAGATCGCTCTGATACCATATTGAAACTCAAGGATCGAAATTACAGAGAGTAAAATTGAATATTCATCTTATTGAGGAAAGTCTGTGATTACATGGTATATATGGAAGGGAAGCAAAATAGACGGGAAAACTGAAAATAGGAAAAATGAAAATAGAATGCATAATGACAGTTGGACTAACTAATAGCTAACTGGACTAACTAATACTAACTAACATTATTCCTTTAGTTTCTAATATGAAGCTCTTTCAAATGACTGTCATTTGAATTCCCCAATCACAGCATATTTATCTGTTGGAGCATCATATTCACAGTTGGTCGTAGTGAAGCGACCTCCAACAATGCACTTAAAATTTGTTCCTCCCAAATTACTGAACCAGCTCTACAAATAATGGGTTCTACAGTTTAATGGAAGAAAAAGAATTAGAATAGCATGTATATCATGGGGTCTCTTCAACCATTATCCTTGCAGGTTACCCATGGAACTCAATTATTCAGTTTTATAGCCATTTTTGCATTCCTTTTCATGTAAACCTTACCATTATTCCAAGTCTCTAGACTTGCAATTTCATCACAATAGTTTTCGACAAAATCATCAAACTGCAATTTTACCTCTGATCCTTTACCCAGTGCAGTATGAGAAGAAACCACTGCTCGATTAATAACATCGTCCTCTGTGTCAAAAAAAAAAAAATTGAAAGAAAGAAAAAGGCGCACCAAAATCAATGCCAATCAACTTATCTGGATTGAAAGGGACAAAAAGGAATTCATCACATTATACAACTTTTCATTGGATTTCACTAATAAAAATCAGTATTCTAAAAAGCGTAAAGAGTAACTAAACGTGGAGGCGAAGCTTAATCGTAAAAAAGCGTTTTCTTATTTTTAATATTATTTTGAATTTTTAATCACTTTAAAAATCATTTAATAATTAATATAATACATATCAAACATCTAAAATTATAAAATACTATATTTACTTAATAATTCATATCATTAGTCAATTATACAATTTTCAAGTTTTTGAGATGCAAAAATTAGAATAATTTTCATAGTTTCAATTTCAACCAAACAAATCCTACTTAATAGATTTATAAGAACTTCATACATGTTTTTGGAGTTTTCAATAAATTAACGAGTCTCAAGATTATAATTACATAATGTAGACAAGCACTATGACTTAAATCTTATTTAACTATTTAGATAAAGTTATTTTTATCTTTTGTGCAGATAAAATCGTTTAAAAAACTTAAAAATAAAGTCTAATGAAAGTTTTTTTTTTTTTAAAAAAGAGCTAAAGTCAAATAAAAGACTATTAAAAAAATTTTTAAAATAATAAACTAATAAAGCGCACCTAGGAAGACGAAAGAGATGAATGAAAAATTCAACCGTTTAGGAATTGAAAAAAAAAAAAAGCGTCTAGGCGTGAAGTGAGGAGTTTACAGTTTTGCTTGAACTTTGAGCTTGCACCGCCTACGCGAGCTTTTTAAAAACACCAATAAAATCCAGCCTCTATTAGGAGCATGATCGAACTTTGATACCAATCGACATAGACGAGAGTGTGAATATTGACAAATAAAGATCGAAATTCATTGATTTCAATTGAATACCGAGAAAGGATAGAATATGAGGATTGACAATCAAGATTAGTTGATTTGCACATGAATACCGAGTATTAATTCTTATAAATATATTCGTTGATTAGTTGATTTGAACGCAAATACCGAGTATTAATTCTTATAAATATATTCGTTGACTCTGAAAAATATCGAATTATCAATATAAATTGAGATAAACTCATTTATACCTTATTTAACTATCAAAAGCCAAGAAACAAAGTGCCATGCTGCTGCAAATTACATAGCCTAAATCTAATTGCTAATTAAATAAACAATTTCACCTAAGACGGATTAAGATTGTTAAGTTCAAATTATATTAAGTAATTTCAAAATTTGTAATTGGCAATTTCCTTAGCCCAAATTAAGTCGTCGTTGAATTGTAATAGGAGTTTATCGAGTTATAATCAAAGTCAAAATATGAATTACCGAGTCCTAATTATATTAAAAATAGTTTGGCTTTGGTAGTATAGTCTTTGGAAGAGTCAAGATATCCAAGATGATCACCTATGATTAATGTAATGCAATTAGAAGTCAAAGAGATATCAAAGTGCTACACATGTTTTGCTCCAAATACTCAGTCTCAATTTGACACATTTTTCACATAGAAAATATTCAAATTTGAAAACTACTATATCAAGAAGAATTGTAGCAATTTGAGTTAGTTTTTCAATACACTTTGAATTGTCTCAATCGGACATCGAGAGAGAAAGTTATGATGAAAATATTGACCGCTGCTCAGTTGTTCGTTTGCCTGGAGCTCGAGCAGCGTCGTTATCCGAGGAACAATAATATTCGATTTTCAAGCTGATTTTGAGTTCTTTTT